ACCCGGCCTCCCCTGGCTGTTCGTGATGGGAACAGTCATCTGGGCACACGATGCACTGGCCTCACATGCCCCTCACCCCCCACCCCGTGTACAGCCAAATCTCAGGACCCCCACCAGCAAGTGCAGGGCCCCTCATCCTCGCTGCCAGAGCCCTTCCGGGAGGCCAGAAACACGTCCAAGTTGTGCCCCTGGGCTCCTCTGGGGGCTGCTCCTCTTCTCTTCTCACGCAAACTTCTGCAAAGGCCATCGGTGGTGAGGGGTGGGGAGCTCCTTCACAGCCTTGTTCCGCCTCTGGGGCTCCTTGGCCCCCTGAGCTTCACTGGGCTTTATTTCCTGCATGCTGAGATCTAGATGCCCCAAGACCAGGGCTCCCTGGTCCCTATTTTCCTTTCCCCAGACGATGACCAGAGCCTCCGGCCAGTTGGTCTCCTGTGCTGTCAGCTGTGGCCTCTTCCAGACCTTCAGAGGGGTCAGTTTCGGGCTGGCCGGTGAGGGACTACTGGTGTCAGGGTGACCTTGGACCCTAGTCTCCTGGGGCAGTGCTCGGCTGAACACGTCCAGAGTAGGGTCTATGTATGGAAGCAGCCGGCCTCCTGGCCCCCGCTCTCCACGGGGCTGCTGGCGTGACGGCAGTCCAAGCTGTCTCCCGGCCCGGAGCTGCCTGCACGGTCAGCTGGTCAGCTGGGCCAGGCCAGGCGGGTAGAGAGAAGGCTGGCATGCTCTGCCATCCACAGCACCCCTCCCAGTCCCCTGCCCCACCCCAGGGACTTCCCTCAGACGGGCGTGGGCGGCTATGTCAGGAAGGTGGCATGGAGGCAGGAGGGAAACAGAGGCCCATGCCCACCCCAGAACCAGGGACTGCTTTTCATGGACCCTGGGTGTGCTCTGCCAGGGAGCTCTGCCTGCAGCCGGGCCAGGACCACAGGGAGATGCTGCTGGGCTCTCCTCTCAGCCCCATTCGAGGGGTGACACCCAGAAGTCCCGTGGGGTCCTCCCTTCTTCCCCAAGGCACCCCTGACCCGGACCTGAGCTGGGGACAGCCCCGGAGCCCGCAGCTGAGCCTGCAGGAAGCCCCAGGTCCTGGGGAGCCATGTGGGCCGGGCTCCCTGTGCTGCCTCAGAGCCAGCGGGGAGTAGCACAGGCCTCTCTGGCTGGAGACACCGAGACGGCCGCCCATCACATGCGTCGGGTTTAGGACGTCTCCCCTGAGTGAAGGCAGGGGCTCTGCCCCAGCCATGCCTGTGTCCGCGTCTGGGAGGGAGCAGGCCGGTCAGGTGAATCTCCCCTAGGACCCAGCTGAGCAGTGGGGCTCCAAGCCTCTACGTTCTGGCAGCTCAGGGAGCTGCTTGGAACTTGGTGCAGCCGGGGCGGTGGGGCTGGGAGCAGCCCTGGCCAGGAGGACACTGGGGAAATGGCTTCACGGTGTGGCTGGGGGTCCAGGCCCCTCCCCAGCCCTGCTTCTCACCTCCACCGCCCCAGGTCCTCTCAGGAGGGACTCCCGTGGGGAGGGGGTCTTTCAAACAGCAGGGAAGTGCGTGGCCTGGTGGGGCAGCCCTGAGGCACCTCCCAGGGGAGCTGGGAGCGAGGGTTGGAGGGGTCCGCATGCGGGAAGGGGGAGGGTGCATGGAGACCAGCCCCAGGTGGAGGCCATCAGCCGGCAGGGCGGGGTGCGAGGGGCTGGTCTGGGCAGCCTCCTGTTTGGAGAAAAAGAGAACGGAGGGCAGGGCTCGCCCAGGGAGGGCAAGGAAAGGAGCCCGGCTCCGCTGGCTCAGTCCGCGGTCCCCCTGTCCTGGGGCTCAGCCCCCCGGAACCCTGGCTTGGGTGGGCCTGCGGCTGTCAGGGGCCAGAGCCCTGACGGATGAGCGCTGACGGCCCCTCTCCCGCGCCCCGCGCCGCTGACACCCATCACGCCGCGGCGGGGACCCGGGAGACCTGGCGGCCTCTGCGCACCCCCGCGGCAGCCTGCGGGCGACGGGGGCGGGAGGTGCCGGGCGCCCCTGACTCGGCCGCATACCTGCGCTGCAGTCCGCTCTCCGGGCACTGCCTCCCGGGTTTCCGGCCGCTCCACCGCGCACCCCGAGAGCGGAGCCGGTCCCGGCGCACAAGGCCGGTGAGTGCGCACGAGGGGGCGGCGGGGGGCGCGCGGGAGGAGGGGGCGCGGGGTTCGGGCCGGGGGCTGCTACTTCCCTCCCGCCGGGAGCGCAGTCGGAGGTCGCAGCGCCCCCCGGAGCCCGGAGCCCAGGCGCACGCGCGCCCGCCTCTGCCGCCAACTTCGGGAGGTGCGAGCGGCGTCGGGGGGACGCGGGCGGCGGCGGAGGCTGCAGGAGTCGCTGCCGCTCGAGGGACCGTGGGCTCGGGGGTCTGGCTCCCGGCGCCGGGCCTCAGTTTCCTCCGCGGGAGCCGCATCCCACCCTCAGAGCCCCAGCGCGTCCGCGTGGTCCGAGTCGGGGCCGGCGCGGGGCGGGGAGGGGCGGGAAGTTTGCGCCCCACGCGCGGCCTCACAGACTTGGCGGCTCTGCTCCCGGCCAGGCGCAGGTAGGAGCGGCGGGAGCCGCGGGGGCGGCAAGTTGGGGCGTCGCGGGGCCGACTGGACGCGGGGCGCGGGGGCGGCGGGTGGCCAGGCGTGTGGGGGGCGCAAGGGGCGGCCGGGTCCCCCCCCACCCTCTTCTAGGCGTCCAGGAGCAGCGCGAGGGGAGGGCAGGGGCCGGGTCTGGGGTCTGGGGCTGGAGCCTGACCTCGCGCTCTCCGTACCCGCCTGTGTGGGGAGCCCCGCGTTCCCAGGGGGTAGCGGGATCTGCGGATGGCCGGTCAGGGTCCCCGGCTGCTGGGTGCCCCCTCTTGACCTGGGGGGGTATCTGTGCCCTCCATGCCACCGGTTCTCGCCCAAACAGGGAAAGGTGAGTGGGGCTGGGTGTCGGGGCCTGGCACAGGGCTGCTGGCTGCCAGGGGAGCGATTGCCAGGTCCGGCTGGGACGAGCGTGTGAGTGCGTGTGCCTTTGTGTGTGCGTGTGGCTGCTGTCCGGGGGTGTCCTCTGCTCTGTGTACACACACCAGGTGGGTGCCAGGCATCCTCCGGGTCCCCATGGGGTCAGCAACTGCTGAGACAGCCCCTCAGACAAGCCCCTGACCCAGGAGCCCCCAGTCCCCCTGGGAGGTGGGATGGGTTGTGGCATCAGTCGGCACAGCTGTGTGGCTCCCAGGGCTGGGTGATCGATGGCCCGGCACAGCCGCCTCTGTCGCCGGAGCGCCCACACCCATTTGTCATCCACATGGGGTGGGGGGGCGGCGGGCAGGGAGAAGGGGGCCGCTTCTGCACCCACCACCCGGTCCAGGCCGGATCTGCAGTCCCTCAGGGAGCCCCAGGCCCTCTCCTTGCCCAGCCCCTGCCTCCTGACCCCCACCCTGTCTCAGCCACAAACCAGCTGGTCAGCCTCTGCCTGCCCGCGCAGCCCGTGACCCCCTGCAGGGCCCCAAGCCTTTGGACGAGTGGACCTCTCCAGCCCTATTGATCGTCCCCCCAACGGTACCAACAGAGTGTTTTGGGGGCAGCAGACAGCACTGCCCCAGCCCTACCCTGCTCAACCTACCGGCCATGCATGACCACGGGTGTGACTCCCAGCCATGTGTGTGTGTGTCCTGGGGAGTCGGTGTGTAGGGCCTGTGTGAATTCGTGAGTGCTGTGTTGGAGGGGTTTGGGAAGCCCCCGACACCTGGGTGTGCGGTGAGTGTGTTACCACAGACGAGCAACCATGTCGATCGTGATGGGGTGTGATGTGTGTGCAGCCAGGGCCCTGCACTTGGTGGCAGGCTCTGTTCTGAGCTCAGGTGGCACAGAGGTGGCTTCTCTGGGTGCTGGATGAGGGCTCCGTGTGAGCCTGTGGGCTGTGCACCCCACACAGGCGCGTGCTGGGGCGGTGGACAGCCCAGGTGGTGGCCCAGATGGAGTGTGCCGTGCATACCAGCGCCTTGCGGGGCGTGGGGAGGAGCGGGTCTTGGCTGAGTGTGGCCGCTGCAGGCTCGGCCACTGACCTGCCTGAAGCCACCCAGATGGAGCTGGGTTGAGCAGGTGGCTGAGCCGTGGGGCCATGCTGGGACGTCCACTCCCCACAGCCTGGCCTGGCCCCACATGAGACTGACCCCCTCAGAGACTCCCAGTGCCCACCTGACGCCCTGCTGGAGCAGGCTCTGTGCACGCGTGCAGACACACACACGCACGCACACACATGCACGCATACACACATGCACACACTCACGCACACACATACACATGCACACATGCGCACATGCACACGCACACAGGCATGCACACGCATTCACACACATGCACACATGCACGCACATGTGTGCACATGCAGCATCCCACACAGGCCCTGCTGTTGGTGTCTCGTCTCAGTGCCTTTTCCTCGGCTTTGAACAGGGGCAGGCAGATTGGCAGGGGCCGGGGTTGCTGTAGGGAATGAGACCAGGAGGCTGACGTCTACCCGGAGTGGGCCCTGGTCACGCTGATTCTTTTAGCCACTCACATGCTGTGGGGAGATGGGTGTGGGCTGAACTATCCTAGAAATTGGCCAGCCCCAGGGGTGGGATTTGTGTAGGGTCAACCGATAAAATAAAGGATGCCTAGTTAAAATCGAATTTCCGATAAGCAATGAACACCTTTTTGGTGTGCCTTTCCAATATTGCCCAGGCGTCACTTAACACTCAGAAATGACGTGCTGCTGATCGGAGTCAGATGCACCTTGGGGGCCTGGACTTTTGTTTTTTTTTTGGTGCCCTGCACTTTGCTGCCACCCTGGAAGTGTGTGTGGGGAGGAGCCGAAGGATGGGGCTGGGGGTGGTGCAGGGCGGAGGGGGGACAGGGCACCCAGGCTCCTGTCCCTGGAGCCGGGGGAGCCCTGGATGGAGAGCAGTGGGGAGTTAGTCAGAGGCAGGCTTGGCACTGACTGTGGCCCCATCTACAGGTGGCCATGGTGCCCAGCCCTGCCCCATAGCAGTCTGCCATGTCACGGGAGGCAGGCTCATGCCACGTAGGCACAGGGGCGAGGGCACGGTCTCGGAAGCCCAAGAAGCCACACTACATCCCGCGGCCCTGGGGCAAACCCTACAACTACAAATGCTTCCAGTGCCCCTTCACCTGCCTGGAGAAGTCACACCTCTACAACCACATGAAGTACAGCCTCTGCAAGGACTCCCTGTCGCTGCTGCTGGACTCCCCGGAGTGGGCATGCCGCCGCGGCTCCGCCACACCCAGGCCCCGTGCACCCACCCCAGACCACCCCGAGGAGCCCGACCCCGGCAGGCAACCCCAGGGAGTGCAGCCCTTGGATGCTGTCCCCACGCCTGAACTCGTGGTCGCTGATGTCCGCTCCCTGCACCGTGGCGGAGGCCCCAAGCCCAGGGCTGAGGGGTCCCCAGGGCCACCACTCTCTGTGGCCAGGGCTACCCGGAAGGGTCCCGGCCCCAGTGGGCTCCTGCCTGAGTCGTGGAAGCTGGGGATGGGAGGGGGCCCAAGGGGCGTGGCCGCAGGGGATGTGGCCTCAGCGGGCCCTGAGGGCAGCGTCCCCTGCTATCCCCCGCCTGCCCCAGGGGAGTTCCCTGAGGCCCACAGCCTCCACCTGTCTCTGCTGGGCGTCAACTACCCGCTCAGCCCAGGCCTCTGCTCCTTCTTGGGGCCCTCACTGGCCGCTGCGGCCCACGTGCCCTTCCTGGCCTCAGCCAGCCCCCTGCTGCCTCCGGCTGCGGCCTTCCCAGCTGCACAGCCCCCTCAGCGCCCCACCCTGGGCCCCCGCCTGTACTACCCACTGCTTCTGGAGCACACTCTGGGGTTGCCAGCAGGCAAAGCTGCCCTTGCCAAGGCCCCTGTCTCCCCCAAGAGCACCCCTGGGACTCTGGTTCCTGGTCTGCTGAAGGTGCCAGTTCCAGGGCTGGGGCCATGGCCCCGAGTCACCCCCAGGGACCCAGGGCAGGAGGGGGAGCTGGAGCGGGCAGCCCAGAGTGACCCCAGGAAGAGGCTGTCCCTGGGAAGCAGGCTGGAGCTCCCGAAGGCACCCCCCAGCCTGACGAGGTTCTGTTCCCGGAGCAGGTGGGCATCTTGGGCTCCCGGTTCCTGGGGTGGATGGAGGGGCTGGGCAGCTGGGCATGGCGGCTGGGCATGGTGGCTGGGTGGCTGGGCATGGCGGCTGGGTGGCTGGGCGTGGCGGCTGGGCATGGTGGCTGGGTGGCTGAGCATGGCGGCTGGGTGGCTGGGCATGGTGGCTGATGTCGGTCCTGAGCTCAGTCGATGGGAAAGTGGGCTCCAGGCCACAGAGGGGAACTGAGACCCGAGAACCAGCGTGGGGTTTCTCGGGGTCTCCAGGAGAGCCCAGGCTCTAGGCTGGGGCCGCAGGGCAGAGGCCATGAGGGGAGTGGGGCTGGGGCCGGAGGCGCTGTGGGGGCAGTGTGGCCTCCTGACCGGCTCCCACCCCACAGCCTGCCCACCAGCCCCTCTGTGACGCTGTGGCCTGAGGACAGGCAGCCAGGTGGCCCTGAGACCCCCGGCCCCGAGGGCCCCCTCCCACCGCAGCCACGGGGCCCAGTGCTGGGCAGCCCAGAGCATGTGGGTGAAGACCTGACCCGGGCCCTCGGTGACTACGCCAGGGTGGAACGGCGCCTGGGGCAGCTGGGGCCCGCGGGGGTCCTGGCCCCGAGACCCCTGCGGGAGCAGTTGGGCAAGATCCGCCTGGAGCTGCTCACCATCCACCAGGCACTGGAGCGGGCCGCGAGGCCGCCCGACGCACCCCTCGACCTGTCTGTGAAACGCGCGCCTGCCAAGGGGCCCCAGGCTCTTGGAGAGGCGTGGGGGCAGCCCGAGCTGAGTCCCATGTTGACCAGGGGTACCCCCGAGCCACCCAGCATGCTGGGCCCTGCAGCGCCCCAACCCTTCTCCAGCCACACCACAAAGTGTGAGGCCGACTCCAGCGTCCCACCCCCGGGGCTCCCCCTCCCGGCCTCAGATGACCCAGTCATTCCTGGCAGTGGCTGGGGCACCTGTGTTACCACAGGGAGTTCCCAGACCCCTGAGGCTGTCTGTGGCCTGCAGAGCCCCCGGGGCATCGAGGCCTGACCAGCAGCGCCTGCGGTCTGACCGTCTCTGCCCGCAGTGTGCCAGCCCCTCTCCTGCGGCCCCCTCCCCTCACCTGCCCCAGCCCTGTGGGCGCCGAGGTCTGACCAGCAGCGCCTGAAGTCCGACCATCTCTGCCCGCAGTGTGCCGGCCCCCTCCTGCGTCCCCCGCCCCTCACCTGCCCCAGTCCCATGGCCAAGGCCTGGGACCTGCCCCACCCCCGCATGCATGTGGATAGACCCCCACGGGCCGTGGCCAACGCTTTTCCCTGGGGCCACACAGGGACACGGGAGGTCACAGTTATTTATTGATCACAATTGTGGACATTAAAACGGAAAATTGTGTTCACACACACCGTCTGGGCTTCCTTCCTTTGGGGCCCTAGTGTAGCCGACTGGACACCCCCCTAAGAAAGTGTCCTGGCCTGGGAGTCCTGGGTGGGCAGCAGTCCTCCTGGGCCTCTGTCTTCAGACTCGGCCCTCTCCTGTGGGCTGGGCTTTCCCTGCGGGGCTGGGGTCTGGGGGTGGGCGGGACGTCCGTGTCAGGAGCTGAGCAAGGAGAGGTGTGTGATCTGGGCTGCTTGGGGTGATCTGGCCTGTGTCGGGGGTGGGCACGGACCCCTGAGCATCCTCTCGCCTCTGAATTCAGCAAGGCAGTGCTAATGTCAGCTCTCCAGCGGTTAAACGGTGGCCCCGAGGCTGTGTGGCCAGAGGCTGCTCACCCAACATGGGCTCTGCTGGCCCCTGCCAGCCCCTGCAGCCGAGATAGGTATCGGCCTTCACGGCTCACTGCCTCCCTCCCGGCATGGCCTGGCTTGGCCCTCCCACGGGCAGGGGATGGGCAGGCAGGGAGGGGTGCCTGGGACCCCCACAGCAAATCACTTCTCTCCTGGGGCAGCTGACAAACCCTCCACGCCCACCCTGGAATGGGCCCTGGAGCCCACGCTGACCCCCCAGGAGGAGAAGCAGTTCCTGCTTGCACCTAGTTCCCTGAGCTGGGCTGGGCCAGCCGGGCTGCAGCCAGTCCAAGCAGGCTGGCAGCGGGCCCCATTAACTACCGGGGAGATAGCATCAGCCCCGACCCTACCTCAGGGCAGCCAGAGCTGGGGTGTTGCCTTGCCAGGGAGATAGCATCGGCACCCACCGCCTTGGGGCAGCCAGAGCTGGGGTGCTGCCTGGCCAGGCGCGGAGTGCTGTGGGGACAGGTCCCAGCTGGGCCCCTCTACCCAGAGGTTTCTTGGAGGGGCTGCAGGGGGCCCTGGGCAGCCAGGAGGTGTTAAGTCCCGACTCTGAGGGAGACTCCCTATCCTCAGCCCCCGCACCCCACATGTCCACCGCACCCCATATGTCCACTGCATCCCACACACCCACCGTACCCCCCCATGTCCACCGCACCCCACGTCCACCACACCCCACATGTCCACCGCACCCCGTATGTCCACCGCACCCCCCATGTCCACCGCACCCCCCACATCCACCGCACCCCCCATGTCCACCGCACCCCAGTTTCTCACCCCCACTGGGCAGACAGGTGAGCATGGCCTTGCTGGGGCAACAGCACCCGTCTCCCAGGTGTGGAGACACGCACGACCTTCTTCGCTGTCAGGACAGGCCTCGTGGAGGGTGCCTCAGCCAGCAGGTCACCCACCCGTGGCCCAGACCCAAGGACCCTGCTTGGAGGTGGTGGCCTGGGGCTGCCTTGCCACTCGGAGTAATGAACTTGTTGGTTGTGGGGGGACTGTGGGGGACCCCCTGAAGGGGGGTGGGCTGCATGGCATCTGGCCGTGCACAGGACGTGGGAAGAGTGTCCAGGCAGAGGGCACAGCCTGCAACGAGGTGCAGAGGCAGGAACGCCGAAGCATGGGGAGTCCTCAGGAGACTTGATTTTTCTTTCATAGAAGCTTCTGGGCCGAGGCCTGAGACTGCGCTCTCTCTCCTCCACCCGTCCCAGCTGTGTCCCTGCCAGTGGCTCCTCCCACTTCCTCCATTCTAGTTTCCAACAACAGAGGCTGCAGCCACCCAGCCCCGAAGCAGGGCCCAGCGAGACTGGCCCCAGGTAAGAGACCCCTCCCCTGGCCTCTTGGTGGGGCAGGTGGAGGCCCTCAGGACAGGCTGCCTCGCCCCAAGGGGTCAGAAGTCTCCCTGACCTAGGGGCCCAGGTAGAAGGGCTATGTGTGGGTGACCCCCAGGTAGAAAGGGGTTCCGTAGGCAGATGGATTTGAGAAATGCTGCTTCTCTGTGTGATGCCCGTGAGCGCAGCTGGGGCTCAGGGGAAAACCCACAGTGAGCTCCATGGGTCATGTGTCTCCCAGACTCGAGTTCCAGGCACCTAGACACTAGGTGGCCACTGGGCTTGGGGGTCAGGCAGACCCTCAGGACCTGGAGGACCCAGCCTCATAGCAGGGCACTGGAGGAGTGACTCTGCCATTCCCACACACAGTGGGGCTTTATTCTCTGTCTTGCAGCCCCAAACGTGAGCCAGCTGCAGAGAAGCTGAGACGGTGATTACGACTGACTGGACTCCGGCCTCCGGCAGTCTGCATCTCACACTGGACCTGCCTAGAGACTCCACTGGCGCCCGGCAGCCCCGGCTGCTTGGGCGGATCCGGGTGCCCGCAGGGGCTGCAGGAGGGCCCCGGGGCCTGCACTGCTCCCCCGATGGCCTGCTCTTCCTCACAGCTGGGGCTGCACCCTGTGTCCACGTGCTGGATCTGGAGGGACGCCCCATCTGCCTCCTGCCCTGCTGCACTCCGGGGACCGGGGCCTTCGTTCCAGAGGATGTGGCTGTGACAGCATCAGGGCTTGTGGTGGTCAGCGATCCCATCCATGGGGCTGTCCATGCCCTCCAGCACACAGCCCGGGACCCCGGAGGCCGCTGGGTGACCGTGGGCACCTTCCTGTCTCCCCGAGGGCTGGCTGTGGATGCCCTCAGCCGCCTCCTGGTGACAGACTACTTGCCCGGGGCTGTGCACAGCTTCACGTTGGGCCCTGCTTGGGAGCCCCTGGCCCCAGCCTCCATGCTGGGTCTGGAGGGCCCCTGCTAGGTGGGCCCGGGGCCTGATGGGGGCCTTGCTGTGAGTGAGGAGTTTGGGGATGTGAGGCTGTTTGGCAGTGCCCACCAGCCCCTGGGCTCCCTGGGGGGCTGGACGGGGCACACTTTCGGCTGCCCAGCGGGCATCTGCTCCAACTCAGAGGGCAACATTATTGTAGCAGACGAGCAGAGGCGCCAAGTGACGCTGTTTCCCCGGGCTGGGCCACCCATCTGCCTGGTGTCAGAGGGGCTTGGGCAGCCCTTGGGAGTGGCCTGTGCACCCCAGGGCCAGCTCCTGGTGGCTGATGCCAAGGACAACTCCATCAAGGTGTACCAGGGCCTCAAGGAGCTGGCCTGACCTGAGGCTGGGTTGGAGCAGGCCTCCTGTGCCTGAGGCCAGCTTCAAGGCCCTTGGATCACTGTGGGAGGAGTCCTCAGGGTAGGTGGAGCCTCCAGACTATGGGCATTGCCTGCCTGATGCCAGCACCTCCTGGGCTGGGCCCTGGGCTGGGCTCCAGTTCTCCTGCTGGTGAGGCTCCGGATCTCAGGGGCAGCCCAGAGTCAGTGCCTCCCAGGCTGCCCCTGCCAGGCCTGCAGCCTCCCCTGCCAGGGCCGCTCTCTGCTGTCCCCATTCAGTGCCCTGGGCCCTGCATTCATGCCCCCCACGCCCATTCAGATCCTGTGCCTGCACTTTGGGGCTGGCAGCTGAAGCCTTGAGATCCTGGGCCAGCTGCTGGCACACAGCTAGGCAGGCTCTCCTGCCAGGTGCCCCTGCCCAGGCCTCCCAATCAGAGGCAGACAGGCAGGGAGGGTGTGGCTGGGCTGGGCTGGGCGGGGTGGCCTGGGGCAGGGGTGTAGACCCCAAGTGTCCCCAGCCTCAGAGCGACCTAGAGTCCTGAGTCTCCAGTAGCTTCTCTGGGCCTGGCAGAGGTAAGGGGAAGGTAACCCTGGAGTGTCTGGAGGCCAATGGCTGGCTGAACCCCAGATGCCTTTTATTCCACGTCCCCATGAATGAAAGCTGTCTGGGCCTTCGTTCTGCAAATAGGGACAAAGAGCTCCGTGCTTATGGTGCAGCTGTGCTGGGAGGGCCTGGGGGAGCCTTCCTACAAGGAGAGACTCCTGCTGCTTTAGAAAACTGAGAAAAAAGCGGGGTCTAACCCTGTCCTCCCATTTTACAAGTGGGGCAATGAGGCATGAAAGGAGAGGCGTCTGGGTTACTCCGTGGGTCTGGGGTCCAGGGAAGGGCTTGTATGGGGGAGGGAGCTGGGAGGGGATGGTGTCTGGCCCTACCCCTGTGGGGTGGGGAGGTGGGGCTCCCCTGTATCACAGGACATCACCCCTGAAAGGTCCCTCATATGTCTGGGTCCTGTGGGTGGGGGATTAACTGGGCGATATAGTTAGGTGCTCAATAAACGTAGTTGCTGCTGAGGTCTGGGCTGGGGTCTTGTTCCCGGGATCGGGAGGCGCTGGACACCTGTGTGTTCCCTCCTGACGATCGCTGGCGGCAGCCTCTGGGCTGGTCCTACCAGGGTTCAAACTTCCCGGCACCACTGGCCTTGGGGATCCGAGGGCGGCCCCTCTGCAGACAGCAGGGTGAGGGGGGCGGGACCGGGCTGGGGCCGGGGCCCTCCTGGAATCCCGCAGGGCCTGAGGACCTGTTCACCTGGCGAGGCTGGGAGCAAGGCGGAGTCCGGGTTCCACGAAGGTCAGGTCCAGTCGGTTTCTCAGGCGAGGAAACCGAGCTGACGGAGGGCTGGCAGCCCGGAGGCTGGCTCGGGAGGTCTGGGCCTGGGGGCTGGGCGGGCACGCTGCGCCGCGGAACGCTCGGGCCGGGCGGGCAGGCGGGCTGCCCGGTCGCCTTTGGGGGCCGGACCGTCGCGCGGCAACGCGCGGAGCCGGCGGAAGTGGGGCTCGGGTCCCGCGGCTGGGCTGGAGGCCGCGAGCGCCGTCGTCTGCCCGGGCCCGCCCAACGGGTTCCCAACCCCATCCGGACCCTGCCGCCCGAGCGCGCGGCCCCGGGAGCACCCGGTGAGCAGGGGGGTGGGCGGCGCGCGGCGGGATCTCGGGCAGCGCTGCTGCGTCTCCGGGCCCGGGCTGGGGGCCCCGCACTCCCGCCCGCGGCGCCGCTGGTTCTTCCTCCGGGAAGTGGGGCCGCCCCTGGGCCCGCGCCCTCCGCCCGCGCCCACCTGGGCCCCTGTGGACTCTGTGCAAGGGCGGTCGGCGGCCTGGGCCTGGCTGTGGGCCCTTCGCAGTTGTCCCGGGTAGCAGGAAAGGGCAAAAAACGGAATCAGAGGCTCTTCCCAAATGAGAGGGGAAAGCCCTGCTTGAGGAAGGCAAGGTTTTTTTGTGTGTTTTGTTTTTTTTTGAGACGGGGTCTCACCATGTTGCGCAGGCTGACCTCGTTTATTTTTCATTATTTACGTATTTATTTTGAGAGGGAGTCTCGCCCTGTCACCCAGGCTGCAGTGCAATGGCATGATCTCGGCTCACTGCAACCTCCGCCCCCCGGGTTCAAGCGATTCTCCCGCCTCAGCCTCCCGAGTAGCTGAGACTACAGGCGCCACCACCACGCCCCGTTAATTTTTTGTGTTTTTAGTGGAGACGGGGTTTCACCCCCAGTCTAGGCTGGTCTTGAGCTCCTGACCTCAAGTGATCCGCCCACCTCGGCCTCCCAAAGTGCTGGGATTACAGGCGTGAGCCACCGCGCCAGGTTCGTGTTTATTTTTCAAACAAGGCGCTGGGAAGCGCAAATTATCCGGAGCTCTTGTGGAGCGGTGGCAGGGAGGGGCGGCTCAGCCAGAGATGGCCCTGGCCCGTCCTCACTGGCAGCGGTCCCACCGTGCCCTCACTCACGGGACAAGAGGGAAGTCTTGCTGCTTTATATGGTCGACCTCCCTACCTGCCTGGTCTGGGAACGGCCTCACAAGAGCACTCGGGCTCATTCTTAGCAGAGGAAGCTCTTTTGGCTAGCCTGGCGCGTGCGCGCGTGTGAGTGTGTGTGTGTGTGTGTGTGTGTGTGAGATTTTTCCCCTCAGTCTTTAAAGATGCTCACGTTGCCGGTGTTTCTGCCGCCTTCTCCCGTCCCGCACCTCCTCTGCTATCGATCGCTTCTCTTTCATCTTCCTCTGGCTGTGTGATCGCAGCAGCCTCTAGTGCAGGCTTCTCTGTGCCGCCGACCGTCCCGGAGGCTGAGGTGGGAGTGTGATGGGCGTTTGCCCCACGGTACGTTGAGTTCTGTCTCACTACCCGACAGATAAGAACAGCTTCTGCCCTCCCATCTCCTTCAGTAGACACAAGGCGCTGCTTTTTTTTTTTTTTTTTTTTTTTTTTTAAGGTAAACTTTGTAGATGAAGCACAAGGAATACACACAAAGAAAGCGCACAGATCCTGAGCACATAGCTCGGTGAATTTACCCAAAGTGAGCCCACTGCAGAACCAGCTCCCCCTAGAACGTCTGTTTACTGTTAGACCAATTGTGTTTCTTTTCCGACAATCTCTATGGGCGGTTTTCCTTAGTCCCTGTGAAAGCTCTTCCCCAGCAGGGCGTGATGAGTCCCTGGGCTGAGCTGGGTGAAAGGTGGGCTGTACTGGGTGGTCTGCCTATGGTGGTCACACAGCCAGATGCACTGGGCCCCTCACAGGCAGAATTGCTCTGGCCCTGTCACGGTGTCCTTGGTGCCCCACCTCAGCTGGCCTCCAGGCATCCGCCTGCCACCTGCCCTCTCTGGCCACTGAGGAAGTGGGCATTTGGGGAGTTCTACGCCTGACCCAGAAGGGCTATTTCCAGTTAGAACCCACGGCCTTGAGTGGTGGGAGCCTCCAGCCCCGGTGCGGGCTGCCTGCATGGGAGGAGCAGCTGCGCCAGGGACTTCTTAAGCCCCAGGCATTTCTGTGTGAGGCCTCTTCCAGAGCCCCTCCAAGCTTCGGGAGAGACTTCCAGGTCACACCACCCTGAGGTGTGCGTCCCACTGTGTTCCCTCCTCCCTAAGGGCGTGGTGGGCTCTGGGACCTCCAGGCGTCCCGCTCTGTTCCCTTGTCCCTGAGGGCGTGGTGGGCTCTGGGACCTCCAGGCGTCCCGCTCTGTTCCCTTGTCCCTGAGGGCGTGGTGGGCACTGGGACCTCCAGGCGTCCTGCTCTGTTCCCTTGTCCCTGAGGGCGTGGTGGGCACTGGGACCTCCAGGCGTCCTGCTCTGTTCCCTTGTCCCTGAGGGTGTGGTGGGCACTGGGACCTCCAGACCTAGGCTCAGGCCAAGCTGTGTCCTTCCCTCGAGTGTGGGCTCCATCCTGGGGGGTATCCGCTCAGGGTGGCTGCTCCACTCTTTGTGCAGGCGAGATGGGGCTTTCTGTGTCTGAGGAAGGCGAGCGGCCCAGCCAGCCGGCCAGCAGTGCTCCCACCGCTAGGGGGTCCCCCTGCCCTGTGAGACCCTGCCGGGGAGGGCAGCAGTGGAGAAGGAAGCCGCAGCTGGCTGCGTGGCTCGGCAGAGACCTGTGAGAAAGGGGGAGGAGAGGCCCAGGGCCTGGGAACTGCAGGGGCTTGGGTGGCTTCCTACTCAAAGGCCACCTTGGAAGGCTGGCGTCTCTCAGCCTGAGAGTGCAGGATGCGGTTCCTCCACCTCTCCAGGACCTGTGAGCCTCTCTCTCCCCGTTTCTAGGCACCCACATGGTTGGAGAAATATATCCTGGAGAGAAATATGCCCTGGGGTGGCTGTGGGGATGTCCGGGAGAGCCAGGCACTGCCCAGGTGCCACCGTGGGCGGGGGTCAGAGTGGAGGCCGAAGCCCTGTGTGCCCTGAGCCTGCTCCCTGAGCAATGAGGCAGGTCCTTCCTGCCCCCAGGGAGGGGCTTGTGAGAGGCAGGGACCTGGGGGGTCGGCCCACTGTGTGCACGAGGGTAGTTTCGGCAGCCCAGCAGCACTTCATTTTAAATTTTCATCTTTATTCTTGCTTAATATGTGAATCATGGTTTGTCACAGTTTCAATTGGCGTGACCTTGCTAATGAGATTGTATAGCTCTCCATGTGCTACACCTTTAAGAACATCTCTCTGATCAGGTTTCTTAAAAACAAAAATAAGACGCCTGGAGTTTGGTTCGGCCCCACACCCCGTCAGGTGGTGCTGAGGAGACTGTGCCCTGGGCCAGCACGTCTGGAAATAGTAGGGCAGGCCTGGTGGCTGCATGTGTGTGGCTGCCTCGTGCGGGTTGGGGTGAGGGCCTGGGGTGGAGGTGGGGACAGCGCTCCGGCTGCCCCTTGGAGCAGCATGGCCCATGTGAGGTGGCAGCCAAGGGGCCCTATGGCCTCCACCACCGAACTCGAAGCTGAGGTGCCCCGACCTGTGGCCCTGTGGCTGCACCTGTCAGCTTGTCTGTGCCACATCCCGCAGCCCACGGTGTGGGGCAGCAGCAGCTCTGAGCCGAGCCTCTCGTCTTCTCTTCCAGCCTCCCAGCATGGTGCTCAAGGCCTTCTTCCCCACGTGCTGCGTCTCGGTGGACAGCGGCCTGCTGGTGGGAAGGTGGGTTCCAGAGCACAGCAGCGCCGTGGTCCTGGCGGTCCTGCACTTTCCCTTCATCCCCATCCAGGTCAAGCAGCTCCTGGCCCAGGTGCGGCAGGCCAGCCAGGTGGGCGTGGCTGTGCTGGGTACCTGGTGCCACTGCCGGCAGGAGCCCGAGGAGAGCCTGGGCCGCTTCCTGGAGGGCCTGGGTGCCGTCTTCCCCCATGAGCCCTGGCTGCAGCTGCGCCGGGAAAGAGGCGGCACGTTCTGGAGCTGCGAGGTCACCCACCGGCAAGCGCCCGCTGCCCCCAGTGTCCCTGGTGAGGACCAGGTCATGCTCATCTTCTATGACCAGCGCCAGGTGCTGCTATCACAGCTACACCCGCCCACCGTCCTGCCCGACCGCCAGGCTGGAGCCACCCCTGCCAGCACGGGGGGCCTGGCTGCGGTCTTTGACACAGTGGCGCGCAGTGAGGTCCTCTTCCGCAGCGACCGCTTCGATGAGGGCCCCGTGCGGCTGAGCCACTGGCAGTCGGAGGGCGTGGAGGCCAGCATCCTCGCGGAGCTGGCCAGGCGAGCCTCGGGACCCGTCTGTCTGCTGCTGGCCAGCCTGCTGTCACTGGTCTCAGCCGTCGGTGCCTGCCGGTAGGTGTCCCAGGACAGGGAGGTGGCAAAGAGGGGTGCCCCCGTGAGTTCTGGCCTGTCCCTTTGTCTGTAGTGGGCACAGAGGCCCAGATGGGCTCTTCCTGGGCCCAGGCCCCCTCCCCACTTCCTGCAGCCGGGCTTTGGCCCCATCCTGCCCTCTCAGCCCTCGCCTCTCAGAGGGTGTCCCTCACCCCTGGGGTAGAGCCAGGTCTCTGGGCAGCCTCAGGGATTGCCAGGGGAGCCTCCCAGTAGGTGTAGAGGGTGAACCTCAGTGGCTCAGGTCCCTGGAAGAGAAATCACATGGTGAGCACAGATGCGACTGCTGCCACCGGGGGGCACTCCTGAGGGCGCACGGGCCCGCTGGCCTGAGCCCAGCCCGTGCCCCCAGCAGGCCTCTGGGCACTGCAGTGCTCATGGGCTGTGGGGGTGTCATCCACTTGCTGCCCTGTGTGCCTGGGGGAGTGGTCTACAGGCCCTGCTGCTCTCCACACTCACAGGTGCTGCTGGCCAGGGGTCAAAGCCCAAGGGCCCTGGGGGGCACGGGGGTAGCCCTGAGCTGTGACTGAGAACAGAGGACCCCCTTCCACAGGAGACCTCATCTGCCTGGCGGAGGCACCGCGTGGGGAGCAGCTGGGGGTCGCCCTCAGTTGCCCCCTGCCTTAGATCTGGGGGTCCCTACTCTGGAAGCCTGGGGTGCTCTTCCTTGTGAGAAGCCCAGTCAGCCCAGGAGACCCCTGCCCAGGCTTCTGGGCCCCATCGGCGGGACGAGGCCCTGGGCCCGTGGGAGTTGCTGTTGGCTCGCAGGTGCTGCCTTGGCAGCAGCTCTGGGAGCATGTGGTGACCACAGGGTCACTGACCCAGGGTCAGCACCTGCGAGGAGGCCAGGCTCTGTGTTAGTCGTGTGCACTGTGAGGTGGGTGCTGTGAGCACTGCCTGCCACCACGTGGGCCACCGAGGGCCCCTCCCACCTGCCCCTATCCCGCTGAGCTCAGGAGTGTGGCCTGGGTGTTTGTGGTCCCCTGCACAGTGGGAACAGTGGGAGGAGGATCTGGACAGGGGCACGTCACTCCTCTCCGCTCCCACACAGAGTGTTCAGGCTCTGGCCCCTGTCCTTCCTCGGAAGCAAGCTCTCCACGTGTGAACAGCTTCGGCACCGGCTGGAGCACCTCACACTCATCTTCAGTACGAGGAAGGCGGAGAACTCTGCCCAGCTGATGAGGTGTGGGCCTGCCCTGGTCTCCTCTGCAGGGCTGGGTGTGTGCCCTCTGGTCCCTTCCCCATCCCCCTCCACACCATGCTGACCCCTCCGGCCAGGCAGCCTCCTCCTGCGGCCCGAGGCTGTGCTGGCCACCCTCATGCCGGCTGGGCCGGACCTCCCTTCCAGGAAGGCCAACACGGTGGCCTCCGTGCTGCTGGACGTGGCCCTGGGCCTCACGCTACTGTCCTGGCTCCACGGGAGAAGCCGCATTGGGCATCTGGCCGACGCCCTCGTTCCTGTGGCTGACGTGAGTGGACTGGGGTGGAGCCTGGTGTCCTGGGCGGGCATGGGGACCCTTCCTGGGGCAGCAGAGCCTTCTCGGACCAGAGCCACCCCCACCCCAAAGCCAGCTCTGCCTTCTCCATGCTCTGGAGACATGGCCCTCCCCAGGACCAGGAGCAAGAACTCCAGGGGCACTGGGACCTGGGCAGGGCAGGCCTTGCAGGCACGCCCCCCTTTCCTTCTGAAGGGGCCGTGTGCAGGAGCCACTGGGCTGAGGCTCTGGGGAGCCCGCCTCTCCCTGTGGGCCCAGCGTCGTGGTGTCTCCCTTGTGGCCCCTACCTGAGGTCAGCGCTGCTCTCCTGTTTCTCTGGGGCCCTCTGCAGAGCCAGGGTCATGAAACCTTCCCTGTCCAGGGCTGTCCGTGTACAGCCCAGCTGGGACTTCCTGCCCTGCCCCTGTGTTGATTCTGTAACTCCTGTGCTGAGAGCCAGGGGCACAGCTTGTCTCCCATCTCCCACCTTCCCTGCATGGTCTGTGCCCCATTTCCAGCCGGGTGCAGCCCCCACCTCTGCAGACCTAATGTATTTCCATGCTGCCTCTGGGCCTTCAGCTTCTCTGTCTTCCTCCCTCAGCACCAAAGCCCCGTCTCTTCCATTAGGAGCTTGTCTTCCTGACAGGGGTGGTCCCTGGCTCTTTGGCCCACCCTTGGGCCTCTGTGGAGGCCTCCTTGAGGCCTGGCTGAGTGGGTCTTGTGTGGGCTGCAGGTGTGCACTGGGCCTGCTTGTGGCCAGGCCAGGCCTCTGGGGGCAGCAGTAGGCACGTCTGTCTGCCATGGGCTGTGGAGGTGCAGGGAGGCCCAACCCAGAAGGAAGGAGGGGCAGGGCTTGGGACGGGGCTTGGCGACTTTGCCTGTGGTCGTCCGCACCCGCCGCTGGCCTTCCTTGTCCTAGACCTCTCTTTTGCAAAAGTGCTCAGAAATATAAATATTTAATTTAAAAATGAAAGTCTCTTCCTGCTGCCAAGCTCTTATCCTTTAAATATTAAATAAGCTCTATTTATAAAGAATGTTCTTTTCTTGGCCGGGCGCGGTGGCTCATGCCTGTAATCCCAGCACTTTGGGAGGCTGAGGCAGGCGGATCACGAGGTCAGGAGATCGAGACCATCCTGGCTAACACGGTGAAACCCCATCTCTACTAAAAATGCAAAAAATTAGCCAGGCGTGGTGGCGGGTGCCTGTATCCCAGCTAGTCGGGAGGCTAAGGCAGGAGAATGGCGTGAACCCGGGAGGCGGAGCTTGCAGTGAGCCGAGATCGCACCACTGCACTCTAACCTGGGTGACAGAGTGAGACTCCATCTCAAAAAAAAAAAAAAAAAATAGAACGTTCTTTTCTCCTTCTTGCCAGTCCTGCTGCGGCTGAGGCCTTGGCCCAGGCTTGGAAGGGGCCTGTGCAGTGGGCAAGTGGGGGCCGAGGTGTCACTGTCTCCTTGGTGGGGAGGCTTAGGCTCCCTTGGGGTCTGCCCCCGGGGGCCAGCACAGCCTCTGGATGCTGGGTTTCTTCCTGGGCGGCCAAGACCCTCCTTCCCTGTTTGCTCTTGGGGGTGCCTGTGCCCTTAACTTGACGTCATCCTCCCTCTGGGGACCTGCTCTCCTGCCTTGTTGCTGTGACCCTAATGGACTTTGCACTGTCTCATTTACCTGTGGCCATCCCAGGCAGCCCCAAGCCTCCGTGATGGGGTGGGGTCTCTGGAAGGGACTGTGTCTGCTGTGGGTGCCCCTGCAAGGCTGGAGCTGAGTCAAGGTCTGCCAGGCCTCAGCGTGTCCACGTGTTTGAGGCTGAGGGGTCTGGTGGGTCCCGTGGCCCAGGTAGTGAGAGGGGAGGAAGATGGTGGAGGTGGGTGCAGGCAGGGGGCCGCATGCCCGACCATGTCACCCAGGCTGGCGGAGAGCGCCTCCAGACCAGCCTCCTCAGACCCCAGTCCCGGAGCCATCTGTGAAGGGGAGCCCGTGTGCTGTCCACGCTAGGATGCAGCGGCCCCTGGTGGAGGGAAGGCTGACCAGGGTGGGGGCCTGTCACGAAAGAGCCTGGGGAGATGCAGGTGCTGAGCCTGGCTGCCCCCGCCCCAGCGTGGCCCGTGTCCCTGCAGCACGTGGCCGAGGAGCTCCAGCACCTGCTGCAGTGGCTGATGGGCGCTCCCGCCGGGCTCAAGATGAACCGTGCACTGGACCAGGTGCTGGGCCGCTTCTTCCTCTACCACATCCACCTGTGGATCAGTGAGTGCAGGGAAGGCGGGGGCCCCAGGGACCCTGGAGCTTGCTGAAGAGGATAGGGACCCAGCCACACCCCGCCCCCTGCGCCCCCAACTCTGCTTCCTGGCGTCGTGTGTGTGTGAGGCTTGTGCTGGGCCGAGGGCTGGGGTCTGAGCGCCTCCTGAGGGCCAACCCCACCCTGCCAGGCTACATCCACCTCATGTCCCCCTTCGTCGAGCACATCCTGTGGCACGTGGGCCTCTCAGCCTGCCTGGGCCTCACGGTGGCCCTGTCCCTGCTTTCGGATATCATCGCCCTCCTCACCTTCCACATCTACTGCTTCTACGTCTATGGAGCCAGGTGGGTGAGGGCTTCCCTTCCCCACCGCCCCCTGGGAGGTGCAGAGGCTCCGGCTGGGCGTTGGAGAAGGGCAGGGCGGGGCGGGCGAGTGGGGCACGGCGGGGGCGGGGTGAGTGGGGCTGGGGGCGGGCCGGGCCTGACAGCACTGCGTCCTGTAGGCTGTACTGCCTGAAGATCCATGGTCTATCCTCGCTCTGGCGTCTGTTCCGGGGGAAGAAGTGGAACGTCCTGCGCCAGCGCGTGGATTCCTGTTCCTATGACCTGGACCAGGTATGAGGCAGGGTTCCTGGCTGGGGGGGCTGACTGCCCCCGGCCTGCGTCCACCGGGCCAGCGTGGCTACTTGGGCACCACAAGGGGGCAGTCTGCTCCCGCCTGCAGCTCAGGCCCGCACAGGCCCTGGGAATAGGTGCCGAGTCTGCGGGGTGGGCTGTACGTGGGGCTCTGATGCGGTGCAGAGCTTCCCTGGGCCACGAAGAAAAGACAGACACACAGCCCCGAAGGTGATGCTGACACAGGGCCTAGAGGTGCCCTGGGTCAGAGACTGGGGTGACCCAGGTACAGGCCCTAGTGGTGCCCAGACTTAAGAGGCTGGCTCTGGCTGTCCCATCTGCTGCTCATGCCTGACAGCCCCTGGATGCTGCCATCCAGAGTGTGTTCTTGGTGACTGTGTGGCCACGCACCCTCTTGGTTGGTCTGGCCCCCACCTGTCTCCCCTGCGAGTCCCCCAGTCCATGGGGTGGGTGGACACAGCCCTCCTGCTACTGGGATTGCTTCTGAGCAGGCTGTCCCGAGTTCCCTCAGGAAGCCGCAGAGTCCCGACTGCAGCTCCGGGATGGGGGAGGGCGCAGCGCTGGGCCGTCCCTGGGCGCGGGGTCCTGCTGATGCCCGGTGTGCCGGCCCCTCCCCACAGCTGTTCATCGGGACTCTGCTCTTCACCATCCTGCTCTTCCTCCTGCCAACCACGGCCCTGTACTACCTGGTGTTCACCCTGGTGAGCTGAGCACCCCCAGGCCTAGGCACTGGCTGTGGCCACTGGGCCTGGCTGCAGTGCTCTGTGTGGTTCCTGCCAGCACTGCCTGGGAGCTGTCAGCTGTGGGGCGGGCTGTCTCCTGCTGCAGGCCACGTGGGTGGCCTTTCAGGACCCTCTGGGCAGTGTGTGCTGGGCCCTGGAGCAGGCAGGGACCTAGCCTGGTCGGGAAGACCCCCTCACTGCCCTGGAACACACAGCTGGGTGCTTGGTGGGAGGACCCACGGCAGGTGGGGTCACACAGGACGCCTTCCCTGGTGCCTGGCACTGGGGCAGACAGTGGGAGGTGAGCAGAACCACCTCCAGCACCTGGCTGACCCCCAGGCCTCAGTCCTCTCTGCGTGTGAGGCTGTGGGGAGGCACCTCTGACCTGGTGGGAGGGCCGACTGCTCCACCTCCAGCTTTGCTCCAGGGCAAGGCCAAATGGCAGGCTCTGTGCCCTGCTCAGGGTGTGGTCCCTGCTCTCCCCAGGGCCCTGCAGCCTCTGGGCCCCCTTCATCATGGCCCAGGATGGCGTCGGGCTGCTCTGCCCCCAGGCACATCTGGCCAGGCCGGTCCTAAGCGCTCCTCTGCCACAGCTCCGGCTCCTGGTGGTCGCTGTGCAGGGCCTGATCCATCTGCTCGTGGACCTCATCAACTCCCTGCCGCTGTACTCACTGGGTCTTCGGCTCTGCCGGCCCTACAGGCTGGCAGGTAAGTGCTGCGTACTGGACAGCTGTCCCTGGGCGGGTGGAGGGGAACCACACCTGTGGGCCCTGCAGAAGCAAGGACAGCACAGGCTGCTGTGCCTCCGGCCTGGAAGCCATGGTAGACATGAGCAAGTGGGCAGGGAGGACAGGGCCTCCCAGTCCCAGAGGTCTGCAGGACCAGCTGCCTCCAGGAGGTGGAGAGAGAGACTCATCTGCCGGCGCAGGTTCAGACACCAGGCGATCCGAGGCCACAGGCCTTTTTTCTTCTGCCTTGGGATTTTCTGGGCTTGGGAGCCTGAACTGCAGGCCAGGGGTGTGGTGGGTCCTGAGTTGGCCATTCCCAGCAAACTGAGAGGCACTAAGAGCCAGCAAGGTGGCCATCATCCAGCAAGTACCCTGTCCGCTCTGCCGGTAAACCCCGTCCACTCAACAGCACAGCCTGCGCCTGTCCCTCACTGGGGCTCTTCCCTGCTTGCCGGACACTTGGCTTCTTTCAGTGCAGCTCTGCAGGAGGCTTTTTTTTTGTTTTTTTTTTGAGACGGAGTCTGGTTCTGTCGCCCAGGCTGGAGTGCAATAGTGTAATCTCGGCTCACTGCAACCTCCGCCTCCTGGGTTCAAGCGATTCTCCTGCCTCAGCCTCCCAAGTAGCTGGGATTACAGGCGTGTGCACCACACCCGGCTAATTTTTTCTATTTTAGTAGAGATGGGGGTTTCATCATTTTGGCCAGGCTGGTCTCAAACTCCTGACGTCGTGATCCTCCCATCTCAACCTCCCAAGTAGCTGGGATTACAGGCACAAGCTATCACACCCGACTAATTTTTGTATTTTTAGTACAGATGGGCTTTCACCATGTTGGCCAGCCTGGTCTCGAACTCCTGACCTCGTGATCCGCCCCCCACCCCCCCAGCCTCCTAAAATGCTGGGATTCCAGGCATGAGCCACTGCGCCTGGCTGCAGGAGGCTTTGATGCTGCCCTGGCAGCGAGATCCAGGAGTTGGGGTGGGGAAGGGGCAGGGAGAGCCTCGTGGGTGGCCACGGCCAGCAGCACCTGGGTGCCCCTCAGAGAGGAAGGTACCTCCAGCCTCTGCCCATGCGTGGAGCTGGCCCCCACACGTCCTCCCTCTTAAGCCCCTTGCTATCCTTGCAGCTGGTGTGAAGTTCCGTGTCCTGCAGCACGAGGCAGGCAGGCCCCTCCGCCTCCTGATGCAGGTGAGGCCCCCTGTGGCCAGGACGCCCCTATGCTGTTGCCCCTGTTCTGGAACCGTGGGGTCAGCTGGGTGTAGTGTCTGGATGGCACCATGCCAGCCTGCGATGAGGCACAGGGAGGGTCCAGTGGAGCTGAGGGGCAAGGCCCACCCGGGAACGCCCCCCCTTATACGCAGGGCCTGAGGACACTAGTGTGGTCCTGTGGATGGGGCCCATTCTGCCCTGTGTCAGAGGCGCCCTTGGCTGGCTGGGGCTGCCCTGGGTCCCACAGGGCTCAAGTTCTAGGTGGAGCAGAACCGACTGAGTGAGTCCTGGAGTGGGGCGTGTGTCCCTGCAGCACGGCCCCTCAGAGTTGGGCAGCCCCGAGGGGAGATGCAGCTCCTGCCTCCCCACAGCACTCCCTTCTGGCTGCAGGCTCACCTGCCTCCCTGGGAACTGGGACCGGCTTGTCCCACAGGCGAGGGAATGTCTGGGACAGCGCTGGCCCTGCCCCACAACTGCCCGCCCCCGCCCTCTCTCTGCAGATGGGGTTGGAGCTCAGACCACCCCGCTGACCGCCGCCCTTGTCCTTCCAGATAAACCCACTGCCCTACAGCCGCGTGATGCACACCTACCGTCTCCCCAGCTGTGGCTGCCACCCCAAGGACTCCTGGGGTGCCCTGTGCCGCAAGCTGTTCTTTGGCGAGCTCATCTACCCCTGGAGGCAGAGAGGGGACAAGCAGGACTGAGGGAGCCGGCCGCCGGCTCACGCAGAACCACTGCACAGCCACGGTCAGCCCTCTGCCAGGGTGGTGCCAGCTCAGCTGGCGCGCGGCCCGTGCTTTGTGGACGTTGCTGTATGCTCCAGAACACGGCAGGCCCCGCTATCACACCTTGGGCTTGGAGGTCATTGGGGGTGAGCAGATGTGGGGGTGGCCAGCCTAGCTGGCCGCGCTCCATCACTGGCACTGCCTGCCTTGAGAGCCACTTCCCGCCTGCTGCAGTCACCACGGTGGCGAGCACAGCAGCCCTGGGTGTCCAGAGCACTGCCCCATGCCCACCCTGCGTACCCAGGTCCAGAGGGCCCGGGCCCTGACTCCCTGAACCACAAGGGGTTTATTTGCTGATGTTCCCTGGAGAGGTCGCTTTGTGAAGGAGCTGTCAGCAGGCTGTGGGCATCGCCAGGCTGCTGTGGGGGCAGGAGCAGCCTCAGTGTCAAGGGCCCGCCCACTGACCCAGCCATACCTATCCGTGAGTGGTGCCCCTGCAGCAACAGGCCCTTGGGCCAAATCTCCTGTCTCCCATCATGGGCCTCCCAGGGAAGGAGGAAGCCCTGCTGTGCAGACGCCTCTGTGGCCCACGGGTGTGAGCAGCCTGGGAGGGGGCTGTGGCACTGAAGCCAAAAGTGCTTGCCAGACATTACGGCCTGGGTGCGGGTGTTCCCTTCAGGAGGGAAGCCTGCAGGTGCTGGCTGGTGAGGGGATGATGCGCTGTGGGCGGGAGGAGGCAGCACCCGTCTCAGCAGCACCAGGACCACTCTGGACTCCCTGGCGACCCAGCACTGGGGAAGCCGTCAGCTGCTGTGCAATAAAACCTGCCCCGTGTTTGGAGCGTAGGCTCGGCCCTGGGTCCACGTGCACCACGGGTCCAGGGAAGCTCCAGGGTGGGGATGCGGACGCTACCCGAGGGATTTGGGCTGCCTCATGTGGGCCTGCCCTGCGGAGTCGACGCCAGTTTCCTGCTCGAGGCCCTGACAACGGCTGATGGGACGAGCTTGCAAGCCCTGGGCCCTGGAGGACTTTGGTGTAGGCGGGTGAACCCGGGCCCCCCCACCCTGGGGTCATGGCCTTGCCTTGACATAGATGGCACAGGGGTGTAGGCCTCCAGGGGCGGGGCGGGGCGAGCAGCTCCAGCTCTGGGTCTGTGGAGTCCATGCGGGGTGGGACCCTCATGGGTCCTGGCCCAGTAGAGCCTGCAGCTGCCACATCTGCTAAGAACGGTCCCCGTTGCCTGCAGTGCAGGGGCCCACCTGGCAGGCCCCACAGCCCATTCCCGGCCCGAAGTGTACAGGCCTCCATCCAACCTGGACTTCCAGGCAACCAGAGGCTGGACTCAGAGGCACTCGGGGCCCACCAACCCTCTACCTGTGTCCCCCGCCTCCCCCCAGCTGCCCACCTGGCCCAACACCCCTCCCATCTGTATCCCCCCCACTCCCCCTCCAGCTGCCCACCTGGCCTGTCACCCCTCCCACCTGTGTCCCCTATCCCCCATAGCTGTCCACCTCGCCCCCCACCCTACCTTTACCCCCACTCCCAGCTGCCTATTGAGTCCACCAACACCTCCAACCTGTACCTCCCCCTCCCCACAAGCTGCCCACTGGCCACCACACCTCCTAGGGCTTCCCCCAGGTGAGGGTCTTGGCGCTCAGCCCACTGCTCTGTGATGGCCATGTCAGGGGTCATGTCTGGCAGCGGTCGCCCCCTCTGCTGGGCACTGGGCTGACTGCCTACCCTGAGGGCCAGCCAGGTTTGGCACCAGAGCTGACCAAGGGAACACCGTCACCCCAGCCACTCGCAGCCACCGAGAGGTGCTGCCTGCACCTCCAGGCTCCGTCTGTCCTCGCTGTACAGCCCCTGCCTGGAGACAGCCTACACCTGTGGGGCGCCCCTCATCCCTCCACCAGGGCTCTGGCCACCCCTGCCTCACCAACCCAGACAGGACAATGGGCTGGAGCTTTTCCAAGGCCTGCCCAGGACCATTCATGGACCCTCAGGATACCCTGAGAAGCACACACCTTCCCTTTCAGAGCTGGGGCCGCCCACAGAGAAGGGTCTCACCAGTACATCACAGATTTCACACAGAAATGCTGTGAGAGTAACACAGGGTGCTTCCAGCACCCCTCATCTGCATGCCGCCACGACCTTGTGCTGTGTGTACGTTTTCACATTGTCTTTTTTTTTTTTTGAGTCAGGGTCGGTCTCTACTGTCCAGGCTGGAGTGCAGCCTCAACCTCCCCGGGCTCTGGCTCCATTTTCCCACCTCAGCCTCCCGAGTATCTGGGATTACAGGCACCCACCACCACGCCTGGCTCATTTTTGTGTTTTTAGTAGAGACGGGGTTTCATCGTTTTACTCAGGTTGGTCTTGATCTCTTGGGCTCAAGCCACCTGCCCGCCTCAGCCTCCCAAAGTGCTGTGATTACAAGTGTGACCCACCAGGCCCAGCCAGCACATTCTTTATATTTTTCTGCACCATTTGAGTCAGCTGCCCATTTTGGCTCTAGAATTTTCAGCGTGCATTTCCTCAGAACAAGGCAGCCAGTGCGGTGATCAAATTCGGAGCTTTTGCACAGATGCTGTCCAAGCCACCGACCGCATTTCCGTGTGTCCCATGTGTCATGGGCCAGTCTCCAAAGCCTCTGGTGCTTTAGGGATGGAGCCCGTTACTCAGACGTGTCCCTGGTTGGGTCTGCTGATGACCCTCATGATGAGATGCCACTCATGCTTATGGCAGCAGTAGCAGGGCACCACCCAGGGTGGCACACAGAGTCCACCTGTTCATCCCAGTGATGCCAATGTGACTACTTGGTCGAGGTCCTGTCTGTGGGGTTTTCTGCTGCAAAGCCACGTTCCCTTGTCATTAGTAACTTGTCCATGGAAACGGGACCATGTTCACGCTGTCCCTCACTGCCCTCATCCACTGCACACTGTGTCCACCAAGGTGATTGGCGCTGTCCACTTGGGATGTGAGTGAGGCCTCCCCATGGTGGCAGGCAGAGTAGCTGAAACTTGTAGGTGCTCCCTGGGCACAGGGCTTCAGGGGCCAAGGTTTGTCTGCCCCACTGGGCAATTGTCCACTCCCTTAGCAGGACTTCGAGGACATCCCAGCGGCCGCTGGGCACCCAGGGTACAGGGCGGACACCCCAAACCACTCCCTTTGTCCCCCAAGCCCCTCACTTGGACAGGGGCTCCACTTAGTGGCCTGGCCTGTCTCTGCCAGTGGGTGTGGGGCGTGGCAGGAGGGGGCTGTCAGGGCCTCCACCAAACACTGCTCAGGCCTCCGAAGTGAGTGCCCAGCTGGTGGCTCACCCAGAACTTCTGGGTGGAGGTCTCTTCCCACACCCCACTGTCCCTGGCTGCCCTGCTCCTGGCCTGAGGTCCCTCAGCAGCAGGGATGGTGTCCTGCCCCCGGGGCTCAGGCCTGGCTTGGCCACGGTGGACCCCAGGATATCCTGCGTAAGTGCACGCAGCTGCATGGGAGTCGCGGCCCCTCAGTCCACAAGGCCTGCATGCCGGAGGATAGCACCCCTCTGTCTGTCCCTCGCTTCACTGGGCCTGCTGCCCCAGACCCATCTAGGTTCCCTGTGATGCTTTTCTGCTCGGAGGCTGGGAGGTCACGGGGCACAGCAGCTTTCCAAGGATCTCAACCTATGGAAAGATTCCTGAACCCAAACCACAGGTCCCCACCAACAGGGCTGTGTCCACAGGCTGTGGTGGGCAGGTCCAGTGGGAGAAACCTGACTTCCTCATCAGCCAGGGGATGGCCCCTTCTTGTCCCAGGAGGTGGGAACCAGGCAGCAGTGGCCCACAGCTGGGTCTGGAGAGCATTTTACATTTTTTTCTTTTTTAAAAAAGTTTATTTTTGTGAAGACCATAAGAACATTTTTAATTGTTTATTTTTGAGCCACTTTTTTTTTTTCTTTTTTTTTTTTTTACTGAGACAGAGACTTGCTCTGTAGCCCAGGCTGGAATGCGGTGGCACAATCTCGGCTCACTGCAACCTCCATTTCCCGAGTTTAAGCAATTCTGCCTCAGCCTTCCAAGCAGCTGGGATTACAGGCACATACCAACATGCCCAGCTAAGTTTTGTATTTTCAGTGGAGAGGGGATTATCACCATGTTGGCCAGGCTGGTCTAGAACTCCTGACCTCAGGTGATCCACCCACTTCAGCCTCCCAAAGTGCTGGGATTACAGGCATGAGCCACCGTGCCTGGCCTCAGAAAGTGTTTCTGATTTACGTTTTCAGGAAAGGGAGAGACAGCTGCTCACCACTATCCTGCTTCCAGGCAGCCTCAGAAACCGAGGAGGAAACATCACACCTTTGGTGTTTCCCATCCCTGGAGTGAGGGGCCTCAGGAACTTCACAGCCAGGGCTCGAGTCCGGGCACAGTGACCTCTGGGCAGAAGAGGCTCTCCCTGACCCGCCAGGTTGATTCCGGGTCAGTTAATGCCTGGGTAACTTGGCAAGACGCCATCTCTACAAAAAATACAGAAGTTAGCTGGGCATGGGGGCACCTACAGTCCCAGCTACTCGGGAGGCTGAGGCTGGAGGATCGCTTGTGCCAGGGAGGCAGAGGCTGCAGTGAGCCGAGATCGCGCCACTGCACTGCAGCCTGGACGACAGAGGGGGCCCCTGTTTCAAAAAAGAAAAAACTGGCCGGGCGCGGTGGCTCACGCCTGTAATCCCAGCACTTTGGGAGGCCGAGGCGGGCGGATCATGAGGTCAGGAGATGGAGACCATCCTGGCTAACACGGTGAAACCCCATCTCTACTAAAAAATACAAAAAACTAGCCGGGCGAGGTGGCGGGCGCCTGTAGTCCCAGCTACTCGGGAGGCTGAGGCAGGAGAATGGCGTGAACCCGGGAGGCGGACCTTGCAGTGAGCTGAGATCCAGCCACTGCACTCCAGCCTGGGCGACAGAGCGAGACTCCGTCTCAAAAAAAAAAAAAAAAAAAAAGGAAAAAACTGGTGTGTCCATGTGGTCGCCGCTTAGTCAAGGCCGTGTCTCCAGCTCTAGGGGCGCGGGAGGTCACTGGAAGTGTGGGGCCGCCCGTCCTGGCGTCCCTCTGTGTGAACAGCACCTGCTCCCGGAGGCACAACCCGGGTCGGGGTCCTTCGGGAGAGTTCTTGCCGGGCTCTGCTCCTCGCCGGCCGGGCAGACGAGACGGGCTCCGCACCTGGTCTGGAGAGGGCTGCGCTGGGTCGACGCAGACGTTACTGCTTTTACTTACTACTGTAACAGCGTTACTGAGCGCTGAGCACGTATCACAAAGCTCATCCGTTGAGAGAGTCACTGACGTTTAGCAACTTCACCGAGAACGGCAGGACCATCCCCACGACTGTAGGACCTTTTCGTCATCCCAGAAAGAACCACGTGCCCACTCAACCCCTGACCCCACGCCGGGGCCCGCGAACGCGGCAGCTTCGCTCGCCCACGCACCTGCGGCTGCCGGGCCCTGCTGGGACCAGCGCTCGGCGGCGCCCCCGGGAAGAGTGCGGTCCGGGCCCTGGGTCCCCGTCCAGGAGGCGCCGCTGCAGCGGTGAGTACGTCAGGCCGGGTCTTGAGCTCGCGCCGGCCGCGCTCCCCGCATCCCGAGCTGCGGCGGCTGCGTCCCCGGGCGGAAGGCTCAAGCTCGGTGACGCCGTGGGGTCCCAGAACCTCAGCGCCTTCGCAGACTCAGTGGTGACCCAAGGGTCCGCCCCGCCGCCGCCGGACGGAAGTCCCGCCCCCGCCCCGTAAAGGAAGTTCCGCCCCGCCGAGCGTCGATTGGCCGCACCGCCTTGGGGAGGACGCGCCCAAGACCACCCCACCGCCTCCGCCGAGGTTTCTGCGGT